TAGTGTAGCCCCTCCTCCTAGTTTTGGATCTACAAGACGTTTTGATTCTGGTCTCATACGAAAACCAAAAGAGACGTTCACATAATTGATGTCACCGATCGAGCCACTAGCAATCAGACGACGCAACTCAAACATAGCTGGGAAAAACCTAGAAGTCATAATAATATTACATTAAAAATTAGAATAAGGACAAAATACATTGTACACAAAAGCATAAGTCTAGTTACCTCATCCAAACTGCTTCCATTAGGAACACATTTTTCTCTCTTGCAAAAGCAATTAATTGTTTGGTTTCCTCAGAATTCATTGTTAATGGTTTCTCACAAAGGACAGCCTTACCAGCCTCTACCATCATCTTTGCACAGTTCAAATGAGATGGATGTATTGTTCCAATATAAATCACATCAAGTTGTGGGTCCTTGGCCAGCTCCTCATAAGATCCATATGCTTGTGGTATGGAGTGTTTAGTGGCAAAGGCTTGGGCAGATTCCAGTGAGCGTGCTGCAACAGCTAGTATGGAGTGTGAGGTCTCAGGGAGAGCCTTCAGGCCAACCAAAAAGTCATGAGAAATCTTTCCAGCGCTACATATGCCCCAGCGAAGAGCTGCCATGTTTTTACAGCATGCAAAGAAGTGGGTGGTCCAGGGTGGAGCTCGTTTCCTTGGGACCGGGAAATTTTAAAACTGATGGAGGATTTTAATTTTTCAGATACAAACTTGAATAGTATAGATTTAACAAAGTAACGATGAAAACGGTACACAAGAGAAATGCAAATAATTTGTCTTTCCTATAATAATTATTTTGATCAGAGTATTCTTCATAAGAATATTCATCTATCTAAAAATAAAAACATGATGGGGTTGGTAATCAGTTGCAGGATTTGTCATGTTAATCTTTTAAGTTTTTCTTTGAAATGAGGAAGAAAATAAAGGCTAACCAACAAGAAAGTAGAGATCAAAATGTAGATCGCTAAAAAGTAATCTAAGACTTCCTTGAGATAAGTAACCATGTAATGTTAACCCCAATCACATTTAAAACTCCGTTGTGGATAATTATTTTGACAAATTCAAAAAGTAGTCACAGTTATTATTATTATTGTTTAAATGCAACCACTACTCTTTCAAAATTTTATTTGAAATAAATTACGCCGAGCTGCTTCATGATATCATCCATGATATCAGCAACCAGTTGGGTCTCATTCAATGGCATTATGTCACTTTCCTTCTTCCCTTCTTGAAGACAGCGGCGTATCTCCTCAGCCTCGTAGCACATGCCCACACTATTGGTAAAGTTTGTTGGCTCACTTGGCTGGTAGGGCTTTGGCAGTGGGAACTCTTTAGTACCTTCAGGTGTCTCAAGTTTTGTTGGACACCAGAACCTTTTGGGTACCTTCAATTGCCCCTTGGTACCATAAACAAAAGCTTCACAAGGTAGAGTATCCTTTATACTAAAAGACAATTGAGCAATACGACCTCCTGGATATGTAATGGTAACAGCTGCTAGGTTATCTGTTCCTTCATCACTGAGGGTTCCCTCTGCGTGTATCTTTTCTGGTTTTTCCCCTCCAAAAACCATTGAGGTAAAACTGATGGCATATACGCCGATGCATAATGTTGCACCTCCTCCTAGTTTTGGATCTATGAGACCTCTTGCTTCTGGTTTTAAACGAAAACCAAAAGAGACGTTCACATAATTGATGTCACCGATCGAGCCACTAGCAATCAGACGACGCAACTCAAACATAGCTGGGAAAAACCTGACAGACAGAAGTCATAATAATGTTACATAAAAGTTAGCCCAAAATACATTGTACATGAAAGCATAAGTCTAGTTACCTCATCCAAATTGCTTCCATTAGGAACACATTTTTTTCTCTTGCAAAAGCAATTAATTGTTTGGTTTCCTCAGAATTCATTGTCAGTGGTTTCTCACAAAGGACAGCCTTACCAGCCTCTACCATCATCTTTGCACAGCTCAAATGAGATGGAGTAATTGTTCCAATATAAATCACATCAAGTTGTGGGTCCTTGGCCAGCTCCTCATAAGATCCATATGCTTGTGGTATGGAGTGTTTAGTGGCAAAGGCTTGGGCAGATTCCAGTGAGCGTGCTGCAACAGCTAGTATGGAGTGTGAGGTCTCAGGGAGAGCCTTCAAGCCAACCAAAAAGTCATGAGAAACTTTTCCAGCGCTACATATGCCCCAGCGAAGAGCTGCCATGTTTTTTACAGCATGCAAAGAAGTGGGTGGTGGTTTCCGCGGGAAATTTTAAAAGTTTCAGTTATATTTTTTGAATGGTTTTCTTTTATATATATAAGCAAAGTGCTTTGTCAAAGTCTTCCTTTGAAATACTATGTAGCAGTTCACTTTTTGACCATGCCGTCTGCACTGCTTCATATATGTACTCATTGCTGGTGTCATCATTTAATGTCATTTGACCTAAGAAGCAAAATAATAACGATTAACAAAAAAATTACTCACCATAAATATATACTAAAGCCAACCTTCCTAATACAGTGTAGTAAAGGAGATTAAGGTCTCTTTTGGGAAGTTGTAACTTCTCTAGATAGCCTTGAACAATAGCCTTGGCAGGAGTAATATTGACACTATCAATTGCCATTGTTACAAGAACTGCTAACTCAAATATATGACATGAATGTACGCAATCACAAAAATCAATCACTCCACCAATAGCAGTGCTGCTACCCTGTTTGACAATGATATTCTTCATGTTGCCATCATTGTGTATGGTCCCTGTACTGAGGTAGGGAACTTCGGGTAGGACCTGTGACTCAAAAGTATTTATGATTTTCGTGAAAACAGCTCGTCTTTGTGGATCCGTTATGGACTTTAGGTGAGGTTTAGCATTGGAAAGGTTCTTGAGATCAAACGAGTACCTTCTGTTCACAATAGATTGGTGAGTGAATTCCTAACATTAAATTAAAGAAAATAATTATAATTACTGTATAGTTCATCTCTATTTGGAGCAATAGATGCCATATCAAATTTCGTTAATATTATACATAATTGCATCATGTATGACAATTACACGTTGCAATTGTATCCACTACAAGACATACTTGTAATTCTTTGTCCATAGATGCAAAACAACTCCCAATGTTAAAAAGCAGCTCACTGGTCATAGGACATTCGTCTGCCAAGTTGCCTTCAATGAAAGTGAGTACCATCACACAATACTGTTGTTCTTTTGTGACACGGCATTCATGAGAAGGTGGCAAATAATTATTAGTTTCACACCTCGTGCTATTAATCAGCTCGTTTTCTTTCAATACTACTACAGGTTTACCATCTAGTGCTTTTATTGGCCAGGAACAAGGTATCCTCCTTTCATGAAGATAGAGCATCACTTCTGCTAGTCCCCGTACCAGGTCTACGCTCGTGGACGGCATCTCGCGCATGATCTTCAACACATACTTGTCGGTTTTGTCTTCAAAGTAATAATTCCTGTCCTCCCAGCTATCAAACTCTTTAATGGAGGACTGGTCGATGGTTCCAAACTTGTAGAACTGAGACAGGAGATTACATATCCTATCGAAAGGTAACGGAGGAGACCGAGCGGACATCTTCTGAACTTGGTCTCTTCCCTATATATGCCTAATGAGTTTATTGTGGCTTATAATTTATAGCATTTGAAAGGGTTCTGTTTATTTTCCAATTTTCCACCTTGTGCGCAAGGTAATAGATCTATCAAAATAACTTTGAATTAAATTATTAATCATTTCTTCTGATAAAATAATTATTCATCATGATGATACTAATGAGCTTGTGTTGTGTGATGTTAACGAAAAGTCAAAACTGATGTATAATGGGAACTGTGCTTCGCTGTCCACTGTGAGTATATATGCAGTCTATGATAAAAAGGGATTCAACAACAAGGAACCATCAAATAAGACTCTCACTTCATCTGGAGTCAGTGATAACTGTATAATACCAGTGTCTTGAGTAGAGGAGGATATACCACCTTCGCCTTCACTGAACGATGCTATTCTTAGCCTAAGAAGAAGATAACATCATTCAGCAATTGTACAATTGGCATGGGATTGTATTAAAATTAATCGTTATCAGTAAATCCCTAACTAAAGTTGTACCATACACACACCACCACAGATTTCGAGGACAAAACTAAATCAGGCATGGCAAACAACAATAACAAAGCAAAGTAATACTATATTTGGCAATAGTCTCAACCAATAATCACTACAGTTGTATAGCTATACAAATGTTGCTCATACCTCAGTGAAAGCGGGCGAACATTTTGTAAACTGACGGCCGATAAGCAAGGCTGACTACGGGTGTTTCTTTTCACTGATATTATCCTAGTAATAAAACGAGTCATGGTGGTACGTCATGTACGTGTATGTTATAACTGACTTGTTATTAAACGAGAGAATAATATCAAAGCCAAACGAGAAACCGGTCCATCTCCAGCAATACTAAAAACAAAAATAGGAAATTAAAAAAGAAGCTAATCACTTATACCTCATCAGAACATTTGAGTATCCTCCCACATCTGATGGAAGTCTCATTAAACTCTTCACTTGTCATCACAGAAGGACTAAAATAGAGAGTGAGAGAGAGAGACAGACAGACAGAAGAAGTTGTAGAGTGAGACAATAGACTATAAGAGCATACCCAGGATCAGTTCTCTGATCAACTGCTATCATCTTTAACCACTGCTGTCTAAAGAGTGGCATCAGCCACTCTAGTGGTAGAAAAGGATCACTCATATAGTCTGTCATCATTTCCATACCCTTTACCTTGCGGAATGATATTATCTTTCTCCAGTACACCAATGGAGACGGGATCAGCTAAAATATGCTGGAGTCGAATGGAGCGAAACACTTGACTGTAAGGGGACCCTCTCTCAGTATTGAGGAATGGAGCTTCACCTTCTGAAGACAAAGGAATTAATAAAGCTAAAATGACTGGGAGCTAATCATTGCAATGTACAGTACATGAACATGAAGGTTTCATGCTGTTAATATGGGATGGTTTTATACTGACCTCTCTGTCGGAAGAAATTGTCTGCTGCAGAGCTTAACTTTGAAATACACTCATCCCATTGTGGATGAGAATGTAAAAATAACCACTAACGAGAGAAAGAGACAATAGATAATAATAAAGGAGAGGCGTTTTTAATTTTATACCTTTTTAGCAAGTGAATAAACATCCATTTCTACTTGTATGACAAAAAGATCAGGACTAATGATAAACTCTGTTAGCATCTCAGCACTAAAACGCATTGAAAATACGTATTAATGTTAACAGTGCTTACTCGAGATGCAAAAGCATTGTTACTGTGTATTCAGTTAGTAAGTGAGTTTGGAGCCAAAACTGACAACTAAAAAGGTTGTTTAAGAAATAAAAATTTAGATTGTATGTAGAATTAATTGAAAACGGAATCTCACTCATTTTTAATTTCTAGTAGTCCATATTCTGATGCTGTTCTCAAATATGGTACAACATTATCAGAACTAGAGAGGGTACAATTACAATAGTAACACTGATATCTTACCCTATAGTCTCTTTCATAAACTGCTTACAATGTTCAATGAGCCCATCCTAGTATAATACATGTGTATAATAAAAAACATTCACTATTACATAACTAGTAAGGTAGATGTATGTATTGGGGCCTAAACTTTAAAAATTCATAAAAAATCGAATTTTGATTGGAATCAGCTCAAACTTTCTATGCAACATAAAAACATCCATATGTATCAGAAAAAAATATAAAAATGAAGAATTCTCTCCTAGTCGTTTTTGGCGAAATTTGGCCAAAGGCCCTGTACTATAGTACAGGGACTTTGGCCCGATTTTTGAGTAACTTTAAAAATTCATAAAATATCCAAATTTTGCTCAACATACCATTTGCAACATTGCTGCTGCTGCTACTGTAGACATAACAATTGAATCACTCAAATGAACAGAATCTTTGTAAAGAGACGAGAAAGCAATGTCCAGTGCTACGAGGAATAATAATAATAATAACACAATTACCATTAATACCATCAGTAGTAATGTTGGCATCAGGTATGTCTATTTGAATGACGGGAAGTTCGGACTCCATCCAATGCCCACTAAACATACTACTAAAGTAATGAGACTAAAGAAAAAGAATAAAAGGCTCTAGTAAATAGTAGGTTCAATGCAATAGGATAAACTTAGTATATGTACATGTACGTACCTGTTTTAGATATGTCTTGTGTAATTTCCACTCCCTACCTAAAATAAGTATAATGCATTAGAGACAACATTTATTATAATGACATGCAGATAAAACAAGCTTGTGCAATTTATGTACTGATACATGGAATAATTTTTGATGTAGTAGAATCATGCAGAGCTCATAAAAACTAGCAACCACAAGAGGCAGAACACTCCACCTCCTTTCCTCATTCCTCCTTACCCAATGCTTTGATAGTGACATCTGATCCTGTTCCCTTTAAGAAAAACGTGTCATAGATATATGTAGATGTATGTTGGATCTTTTGCCTACAACAAGATTAGTGAAAAAAGAAGGTGACACTTGTATCTGTCACCTCTTTGGAGAAAGAGACGGCTCATCATCTGATGGGATGTCGTCTACTGCTTCTTTACATTTTCTACGTCTTCCTCTTCGTCTGCTTTGAGTTTCCTCTTGCTCTTGTGAGAGAGAAGTGACGCTAGAGCTCCTTGAAGATCCTACTCCCATGCTCTTTTGTTTTGAGGCATCACGTTGCTATGACACACACTCCCTCTCAGATTAATGAGATTCATAAAGTTATTTATCACCTAGTTTATTAAGTAACTATCATTGTCAAGAAAGGGAAAAATCAATTTTGCACTGAATATGTCATGTTCTGATGCTCTTCAGTACATCCACATAAGTAATGCTCTAAACATTCAATTGAACTAAAATTCATATTTTCGTTACTTCGCATGAGATGATAGTCTCTATCGAGTCTCCAGTTTCTACGAATTTTCATAAAGAAATAGGCTATTATGAGGATTGTAGGGATAAAACTCAGGCAGTATTGAACAATAAATACATCATTTCTAGCACCATAGCTCAGTATTGTGAGATGGTACTGGTACAAGACACTGGAGTTGATGACCAGTATGAGCAAGAAGACAAAGGCATCTAGCCTGTTGTGAGCCATCTGCTTATATGGACGTACCATGACTGTTATTCCAAGGGCAATTATAATTAATATTTGCTGTATAATCAGCTGCGAAAGATAATCCATTGAGAAAATTGAAACAGCAAAGAGACTTGATCGAAGGACAAAGTACCAGCCAGCGTACCAGCGACAGTCGTGCATCCCAAATGAAAACCTCCACAGCTTAATTTTTGAGCAGACGTCTTCAGATTTCTTGCCGTTCCTAAGATCTCTTTGAAATGGAGTGAGAATGCATTTGTCAAGAAATTTGTCCAAATACGACAGGATGTGACCACATTTGATTGAAGGCTTGCTAGTTTGCTCTTTTTTAAGATCATATCTCAAAAAGATAAGAGAGAATGGGAATATAATAATAACAGCAATGAGGAAGACTATAGCAAGCCAGGCATACTTCCAGAGTGTCCTGCTTCCAGGATAAGACAGTGGTCCTTCATAATATAGAACACTATTGACTACTGTCCCATTTATATCGTACAGATTAGTGGGTGTTAGGAGATAAAATGTAATGATGTTAAATTTTGTGAAGGACAGTAGTATGCAGGAGGACACTATAGTTTGAATAGAATTGTCCCTGTTAAAACGGACAGCTTTCTGTAGCCAAGGAAGTCTCCCGAAACATTTACACGGGTTAATGATATGGATCACGAGATCTTCTGAAAGACCCAAACGTCGAAGGCCTTTTCCGATTGAGTTAGAAATTTTGTCTAAGCTCTTGGCAATGACTACTAACACAATGACTGGTGATAGGGCCATCAGTGCCACTGTGTATTTTAATGACAGCATTTGAACCATTGTCATGTCCTCATGTAAGCACAAGTTGCTTCCAAAAAACATTAAGTCAAGTTTCCAAAATGAATTTACAGTTTGATAAGCATAGGATAAATGTTCCGTCAAATTATTTGTTGGTATGGCTTCATAAATGTTTAGGTTCAGTGTCGTTGATGTCATTTGGCCAAAAAATATCAGCGGATTAAGAGCACCAGAAACAAGCGAGAAATCAAAAAGGTAAATAAACAGTAGAAAAATTGTGAGGATGAGAACGTTTAGCGGAAAGTACAAACGCTCTCCTTTAGTTGTTTTTCCACATTTAACACATTCGTATCGATAAGAGTTGATAGCAAAAGAATAACCTTTTTTGCAGGAAGAACAAAGCATCGATGATTGGTTACGGTTTCGATCACACTGATTATCTAAATCAATTTTGATCAGGTGACCTATTTTGTAGTTCTGAAAATTGCAGAAAGCGCAAAATCCCAGCACAGTTATGGTTTTATTTCCAATATCATAGGGACCAGCCCAATATCCTCTTTGCACCATTGTTACATGGTCGGTTTCATTACATCTGGCTCTATTCCCAAAGCATTCTTGTCCAAGAGCCTCCAGATTGTCATTTTCTGGTTCCAGAGACTGTGTGACAGACCAACAGGATAGGAAGACAGCAGCAACAAAAAAATTCATAGCGACTTTCCCGACTTATTAGCTTGCACTGGAGTTGCTTGCGTGGCTTGCGACCTTGTGTAATCTGTCATGTGGTTAGATCTCTATCTAAAGGCTAGCCGGCCCCTCCTTGTGGAAAATGGAGGTCTTCACAGTTGATTCATTCTCTTGTTCTCCCTTTTCTGGAAATCCAGCAGGAGTGTGCATCCTTGAGACTGGAAGAGAGCCACTGTCTGACGATCTAATGCAAAAGATTGCAGCTGAAATGAATCTCTCAGAGACAGCTTTTGTACAACCGTTAGTCTATCCTATGGTCTAGCCATGCACATAAACATCATCTCGATAATTTTAATTACATATATAATGCTATGCTGAACCTGTCATCAATTTAAATAAAGCATTAATTTTTTTACTGTAGATTATCCAATAAAGAACCTGTTTCTGTTGCTTCTACCTTTTCATTAAAATGGTTCACACCAATTTGTGAGGTCGATCTCTGTGGTCATGGAACATTGGCTACAGCAGCAGTCATTTTTCAAATGTATGATAACAGCAACACTGAGCTGTCTTTTTCAACTCTTAGTGGAGAATTGAAAGCTATTCACAACAAAGAAGATAAGACAATATCACTGGATTTCCCATTATCTTTGCCTACACAAGAGAGCATGACTGAACACAGCAATATCATAAAACTAGTTGCTGATAAGCTGAGGGTGATTGATTGCCAATTCTCACCATCTACAAAGAAACTGTTGCTACGCTTATCCGATGAAACTACTCGCAGTCAATTGGAATCATTAGCTGTTCCTGACAGCCCCGGACTACTAGCCATAGACCAGACTAAAGTAAAAGGAGTTATTGTAACACTAAAGTCTACTGAGTCTGACTATGATTTCTACTCAAGGTACTTTGCTCCATGGGTAGGCATAGCTGAAGACCCTGTCACAGGTATGGCATAGTATATACACCAATTCCTTATGCAGTGTATTATTTCATAGGGTCAGCACACACTGTACTGGGGCCTTATTGGGGAAAGGTATTGAACAAGAAGATATTGAGGGCTAGACAGTGTTCTCCACGCGGTGGGGACATAATAGTAGGAGTGAATGAAGAGACTGGACGAGTGTCACTAACTGGGAGTGCCTGTATTGTTTTTAAAGGGAAACTAAATATATAACTTTTTTTCTACAAATAATAGTTTTTGTATAGTCCTAAATAAATGAAGGCTAGCTATAGCACCGAAAATGCATATATGCTTTGTTTTACTCTTCTCAACATGAAGTAATGCCTAAACGACTGACTCCATTAGCCACAGTGCATCCAAGTAGAGTAAGTAAACCAAACACTCCAAACCCACCAAGATTACGTTTACTTGGATCTACAAAGAGACCATACTTACAGTGAAATTACTATCATTATTTTATTGATTAACCTCCAGTGTAATATCCATGAGCATAGGCTATCCTGCCTGCTATCCACACCATGCCTGCTGCTGCACTTACCCTCTGTGAAGAAAGAAAGAGAGTGGTGATTTAATATTAACAATTATTATTATTATATGAGGCCTTACAGGATATTTGTCTCCTCCAGCAAATAAAACAAACAAAAAAACAGGATACATTTCAACCCTATAAAATACAATGTAATAACATCTATAACATAATTGATGGATAGATATGAATAGGGAAAAGCTATGAAGGTGTGGTCACTAGTCAGACCTAGCTAGGCATCAACCAACTTGCAAAGGTTTTAAAAGTCTTTGAAGTTCACATAGAAGTGTCAATGAGGTACAGGTATTAGGTTCAATGCTTTATTTTTAGCCTCCACATCCCACTCTACAATATGATCTAGCCACACCTACTAGAACCACATATCGCTACCATAGATATTAGAGACTACGTACATGTTCATGTAAGCTCTCTGGTAGCAGTTAAACTCTACACAGTCAGCACTGTACTGATCCGGGAGCTACAGTATAGACAGTGTGTTGTGAGAAAAAAAAACAAAAATCATTCTATGAGCTGAAAACTATGACTAACTGGGATCTTGTGCTTCCTTCTAGCCATTCCAACTTTAACAGAGAGATAAGCATGAAGAACCACACTACAGGCTCCGGTGAGGATCACATATCCAAAAGGGTCTCCCTTTGGCAAACTAAGCTTTCCACCCATCTTGAATTGTTCACTTACAATTAAAGTTATGTAACTATCTAACCACACATAAGTAAAATTTTTTCAGTCAAACAAAGTTACAACCAATCCTGCTTGTAGCAATCAGCAAAGATCTATAGTAGCATCAAGAAGCCAACGTATGACAAAACTCCTTTCATACGATAACGATTCTTGCAAAAATTAAACTAATTCATTTTCATGTAGATTAACATTAACTTTACCAGCAAGATATTTTTTAAACATAAGGACAACAAATTAAAACCAAAGGAATTCATTTTTACACCCTCTAGAATCCGCCTAGTCTCAACTAGCCAGCCTAATAATAGAATCCCACCCACACATAGGTCAGATATCTAGTGACAAAAATTTTTTATCTTTGTTCTCTAAAATACTCAGCATTTTCTAATGAAAGATCTAATCGTTTTTAATCAAAAAAGTTAGAAAGAAACCCAATCCTTGTTACAGCATTCAGCAAGGTGCAGACTAGCAGTGTCAAGAGGCCTATGTATGAAATGGCTCCTCTCATACGTTTCTCAGGATCTGAAACAAAAATTCACATAATGAGAATACTTCATAATTTTATAAAAGCCTTACCGCCAGTGTAGTATCCATGAGCATACAAAACCCTACCAGCTATCCAGATCATGCCTGCTCCAGCACTAATCAGCTAAAAACAAACAATTCATTAATTAGTATAATATGTGCATTTACAGTAACATGTAAGTACTAATTTTTATTATAAATTAGATGGTTACTCACTGGAAACTTGTTGCCAGCAGCAAAAAGGAGCATAAGAAAGATGGGTATATTTTCAACACTATGTATATATTAATAATGGAAAGGTGTGAACAACTTCTTTCAAACCTTGTTAAGCTACTCACGTGTTCATGTAGGCTCTTTGGTAGCAGTTGAACTCTTTCTTAGTGTCACTGTACTGGTCTGGCAGCTACAATCAATGTATTATAGTGATATTTAGATCTCTCAAAGTAAAACAAAGTTATTTGAAGCTTACTGGTACTCCATGCTTCCTTCTTGCCCTTCCAACGTTAACAGCAAGATACATGTGCAGAATAGCAGTGCAAAGGCCAGTAAGGATAACAAAACCAAAGGAATCCATTTTTACACTCTGCAGATCAAAGGAATCTCGATCTCAACCAGGACCCCGCCTGCAAAATTAATAAATTTCGCAGGTATTATATAAACCATATAGATGACAGTTGCTTCATAATTTTTTATTTTTTTAAATTAAACACTAAATCCTTCAATTGTCCCATTTTCAAATCTAGCTGCTCCCTGATGCTACCACCAGCAGCAGGGGCATCACCAACAGGAACACCTCCTTTATCATCGCTGGATTCAGAGACTTTTTCTTTACTCTGATCAATAGACTCTGCCTCCTCTTCAAAGAGATTGCTGTCAATCTCTAACTTGCTCTTGTCCTCATTCTCGTCTCCTTCCCCTTCAGACTGTGAAGCAGTACTCTTCTTCAAATCCAGTACAACTAGTGATTGATATGTATCAAGTATCGCAAAGTCATTCGATGTCATGTGACTCCTTAGCAATGATATGACACGAGGTATCAGACGACCAGGAACATGGAGGAGGCAGCCGGTATGTGCTTGAAAGAGGAGGAGAGTGACAAGGTGCAGTGACATGGCAGGGTCTTGTTCATCTTTGAGGTTAGCCTTTAGCTCTTCAACATGATTGATAATGACTTGTCTATTTTAAAAATGGAGGAAAGGAAGAAAAAAAGGTAAACCAGCAGCTTTATAATGAGTTACTTTTCTTTCTTTTTGTCTAGTTTCTTTAGCATCACACCACAGGATTCTGTATCGCATAAAGCTTCAAAAGATGAGACAAACACAGCAACTTCCTACACAATGAAAGCAATAATACCCAGTCACTTCAAATCTAACAAAAGATGATGTACACAATCAAATCATTGAGACCTTTTCAGAGAGACTAGAGTTAACAGCTTGTGCTAATTTCCTCACAGCATCTGGTAGCTTACCAACAAGCTTAGTTCTCTCCTAAAACACATAACAGAAAGTAGCCTCAACTCTCCTTATAATACTTTATTAAATGCTCCTTCATCTTCTGGTACAGTTATCTTATAATCCTGTGCAATGTATCTCAGCAATTGGTTAGTTAAGTCAGTGCAAATAGTATGAAGCAAATACTTTGATAACTGAACCTTTGTGTCACCTACATAAAGAATTTTTCTAGTAGTAAATGGTATCTTAATGAAATAGAGTATCCAAATGCATGGACTACAATGATAATGCAAAATACCTTCAAATACTTCTATTCCTTTTTCAAAAAGCCTGAGCCTGTTCCAGAGTTGCTGGAGTCTCTCTTGGAGCTCAGAGTGTCTCTTTCGCTGACTGCCTGCCTCTCCCTCGGCTCTCTGTGCTAGCATTGAGCGAGCTTCTGACTCAAATCTTTCCTGAAGTGGCCTAATGTGTAAAACAATACAATCATTTGAATGGCTAATATCCAGTTATACCTGTACAATAAATTAGAGATAGTCTCAGCAAAACTTTGAGGAGTCTGTTCAAATTTTTCTAAAATTGTCTCTGCAATCTATAATTACAAGAAAACATTGATGATTGAGAAGTGAATATTTTTACTTTCTCTTTTGACATAAAAATTATTTCCCAAGAGTCGTCTCCCTCATCACGCTTTGCTTTCCCTTTCTTTCCTTTCCCTCCTTTCTTCCCCCCTCCTCCTCCTCCTACTGCTCCTCCATCTTTCTTACTCTCTTGTGAAACTTGTCTTAAAAACGAGCCACTAGTAGCTGCAGCCTGCATGATAATAGCACCATTATAAAAAGAGGAAAATGCTAATGGTTATTCAATAGGACTAAAAAGGAATTATTTTTGATAACATCTTTGTAGCATACATTACCTTTGCTGCTTTTTCTTCTATCAGAGATTTAAAGATATCAAGGCAATTCCGCACAAAGTCTTGATGAGATAATATTGTCTCAGAGATCAAAAACCGCTCTTCATTGCTGTACAGCCTCTGAAGGAGTAGCTCTCCATCTTCATCAGTACAAGGAGATGGGAGTACAGACTAACAAAGGGAAATCAAAAATCTCTCAAAACCACATTTTGGCATATAAAACATACCATGATGTCAATCCATTGTGACTGTGATACTACAGTGTCCTCAACATTAGCTTCTATCTCACTGATAACGCTCTGGCCAATACAGCAAGACTTGAGCATCATTAGATCACCAGTTCTATCCTTGTAGCGTGTCTTTATGTAGACCTGAGGTGACTCTATACCCATCCTTACAAGAGCATCATATTCTGAAGAAAAATATCTTTAATTTAGTGCTTTTTCCCTCAATCTCTCTTTCTTGCTAAAGTCTTATTCTCTCCCAATCTCCTCCCTTTCATTCCACTATTATGGCTCTTACTCTTCTTACCAAGGTATCCATTATCATCGAGGAACCTGTCCACCCATTGGTTCTGCATCTGTGAATAAACTGCTGGTATGAATATAGCTCTCATCCCGCGGCCGTGGACACTCCCGGACAGATCCCCACTGGATATCAGCTCATTTAAAGTCGCTGGAAAAAATAATAACAATTTTAGCAGAATCACACAATTATAAAGTATTACAATAAAAATGAAAGCAGGTAGTGGTTTCTTAACATGATACTAATGAGCAGCTGCCAATTTTTACCATTATAGTGAATAGAAAGCAAGTGGTTCATTCATTAGAGTAGTACAATAGAGAATATAATTATGGTAGTGCAATGTACATGAGTGCAGTCAGTGACTAACAGTGGAACAATCTCTCGTGGTATTTTCCTTCAGTTACTAGTGCTGGTATGGGAGTAGGCTGTGTCATGGCTGAGAATAATCCTCTTAGTCTTGAGCGATGTCTTGAAACGTAGGACTCTGTATAAAGTAGGCCACTACCACTCTTATCAAGCTGGCCATTAATGAGAGTACTCAAGGAGTCTTCAACACACTGTGAGAAGAAGAGAGAGACTTCTCAAATACTATTGTAACAAGTGACTTGGTTGCAAAAGTGCATTCTCCATTATATTATATTGAAATTATTTTACTTTTGTGATGAAGTAGAGGGGGAGGCTAAATGTACTACTCAAGTCAGAGAGCGACACGAAACCGTTTTGAAGTAGCATCTCATTTATTTCAGTACAAAGAGCAACTTTATATGAACTACATAATTATTATTTAGATCATAATATAATAAATGAAGCTACTGTAAAGCAATAAGCTCACCTTGTGATTACCTCTCCAGGTATTCTCTCAAAGGATTCGTCATATCTCACAATGTTATCAACTCCTCTATTAATGTGATTGATATCAACATTTAGTATCTAATAACGAATCAATAATGACACGAATTAGGATTGTCTCACTTGCTGTAGTTCTATAACTTCAATTCGACCTGTAAGAGAACAGTAACGACACACTTAAAACAATAACTCAATGAAATATGCAATGTACAATTTAATTTTAATTTAACAATAATAATAATAATAATCCACCTTTATTTGCTTCTATTTCATTTCTTATTTCCTTCTCCAAGTGTTCCTGTACAATGAATTCCTTCCCATCAGTTGTGTAGAGTAAGCTAATGAGTTTTAGTTCAGTTAGTTTCTTGACTATCTCAACACAGTTGACCTCTGAGAGTCTAAAGGCAGTACTAGCACTCTGGACTCGCTCTAGTTCCGCTTGAAGCCTCCGTACCTCGTTCCAATCACTCATATTGGGAAGAACTTTTGTATTCTTTCACAAACTCTACACATGCATTGCAAATAGAGTCCCTGCCCATGGCCCAGCCCAAGTACATCCGGTTTAAAAACCAATTTTTATTATTATTTTCAAGTAAAAGAATGATTATCTATCTTTTTCTTTCTGGTAGCCATTTATAGATGGTTCGTCCTCCTCCTCTTTCCTTTACTCTCTTCTCTTTCTTATTGAGGAGGTGTTTCTGTAGTTGCATTCTTTCGCTTAACATCTTTAGCTCTTGGCAACGCTTGAGTCTACTCTCCAGCTCTTTGTATCTTCCTTCAGCATCAGGTGCATCTCCAGGGATTGGCTCTTTTCTCGACCTCTTTCTAACTCGTATCGATAAATCCTTAAATTGAAAGTCATCATCATCGTCGTCGTCCATGTCGTCTTCTCCTGCAGTACTAGTCTCATTTTCTCTGCTCTCTAATTCTTCTTCGCTGTCTGCCTCGTCTTCATCATCGACAAATATCAAGTGTGTGTTGTGCTTCTCTCTCTCCTCAGTTTGATGGAGGGATGCTCTCAGTCGATCGATCTTTGATTTCTCTGTGCTTAGTTTCAGTTGGACGTATTTCAGGTCTTGAGTTTTCATGATTTTGAGTTGTTCCTCTGTATAGGATTCTTCCTCTTGCTGTATCACGTGACGACCGTCTTGAAGCTTAGTTTTGATCATTTTGTAGTAGAACTCATCTTTATTCCTGTTCCTTGCCTTCTCGTGTAGTCGCTTCAGTTCAGCTGCTTTCTTCTTAAAAGAGGCTGCCCTCTCCACATAATCCTTGTGTTTCTCTAACAGACCGAGGTGCTTCCTTTCTGATGGCTGCCCTCGCTCTCTGTAACGTTTCTGACCACTTTTATTTCTCTTCTTGAAGGAAGACATAGTCAGAAAAATTAAAAGCACGTGTCAGCTCCACCCACAGGGTGTGGCTATAATTAATTAATCAACTTGATAAAATTGAATGTCACATTATGTCTTTAACCACTGAAAAACCTATAAATGAAGTTTTATAATCAAAGGTATTTGTAAATTTATCATAGCTACTTACAGAAACATGCACACAATGATGAAGATATTCCACATTGCAATGAATACACGAAAGTATCTTAAATTGTACAGGAACTCCCTCACTCTTTCCCCCACGCCATTAGAACTGTCATCATCATCAAATGAAACTGATTTCTGCTTCTTCCTATTAATTATCATAATAAAATGACTGATCAGAGTTTAAATTACAGTGCTTATGGCTGCAAATGTCACCATTTAACTCTGAGCATAACTCTCTTACTCTCAAGGACTTTAAATAAACAAATCCAAGATCTTTGACTTGACCCAGTTTTTTTAGCAACTTAAAAAAATTCATAAAAAATCCAAATTCAATCGGAATCAGCTCAAACTTTCTACGCAACATAAGTACATGTATATGCATCAGATAAAAATATAAAAATGAAGAATTCTCTCCTAGCCATTTTTGACAAAATTTGGACAAACACCCTGTACTATAATAGTACAGGGACTTTGGCTCAATTTTGGAACAACTTTGAAAATTAGTAAAAAATCCAAATTCGATCGGAATTAGCTCTAACTTTCTACACAACATAAGTACGTGTATATGCATCAGATAAAAATATAAAAATGAAAAATTCTCTCCTAGCCATTTTTGACAAAATTTCCTGTACTATAGTACAGGGAATTTGGCTCAGTTTTGGAGCAACTTTGAAAATTTGTAAAAAATCTAATTTTGATCGAAATCAACTCAAACTTTCTATGCAACATAAGTAAAATTTTTTGATAAAATACTTTGTATGATAATATTATAATCAATAATAAACTATAGAGCACACAATAAATGATAATTCAATTGTCTTGCTTTAAAGCTTACAATTTGAAATTGAGAACAGCTCCTGCATTAATCAGCAGAGTACTAAAAATATAATAAAATCAGTGACATTTACTTATTCTTAGTTTCTTACCAGAAAATAATCAATTCTGATATCATTGTATTTCCGCCATTTTATACACGACCACACCCTTTGTAGCCCCGCCCTAATTGATCATTACCACCCACGTAAACATGGCTGCAAGCAGAGGTACAAGCTCAAGAGGAGCAGGAGGAACTAGTGGAGGAAAAAAGAAGAGAGCCTGGAAAACTGCAGAACAAGAAGATGCAAAAATTCCTCATTTAGTATTAGGAGATATCACTGAAATAGACGGATCAGTCAAAGAAGGAGTCAGCCTGAATAATAATAAATTTAAAGCTTATCATCATCATCATCATCTCTAGGGAGGGCAGATACTTCGTATATCAATTGCTCTCAGCTGCTTATTAAGAAAGAACGTCCACATTTCAAATATACGTGCTGGACGGAGCACGCCTGGTCTCCGCCCTCAGCATCTTACAGGATTACAGGTTCATCTACATCGTGTACATGTACATGCATGTATTGATAAAGGGTGAGGCTGATGAATATTGCTATTCTGTAGTTGGTTGCAAGGATATGTAATGGGAGACTGGTAGGGGGTTCCCCAGGTAGTACAGAGGTGTATTTCTATCCTGAAGCTGTTCAAGGTGGAAGACATGTAGCTGATGTGAAAACAGCCGGGTAAGAGAAATAAAGAAAACGTTTTACCCTAGATATTATTTCTATTACATAAAGGAGTATTTGCCTGTTGCTTCAGATTGCTTTGCCGTGCTTGTTGTTTGCTAAGGAGAGATCAGAGCTCTTGCTAAGAGGCGGTACTGACGTTGATATGGCCCCACCCATTAATTACACTCTAAAGGTAACCCCCCTTTTTACTTATTGCTAAAATTTTGACTCTTTATTACCTGCAGGTATTCAAACCACTCGCCGAAGCTATGGGAGTTCATTTTGAGTGCACCATCAACCAGAGGTACATCAAACATTGTAGAGCATGTCTCGCTAGGATAAATTATGATCAACAGTAATGTAGCTTTGATTATTTTAGAGTGCATTTTGATTATTAGTGATGTTAACTACTTTAGAGGGTTCTTTCCAAAGGGTCGTGGTGAGGTTTTGATAACATTGGACCCAGTTCATCACCTGAAACCAATCACATTGTTAGACAGAGGAGACATTAATGGGATTACAATAGAAGCATTCACTGCTGGACTGGTTCATCGTAAAGTTAGTAAAAGGATGGACTAAGAGCCTGTTAATTGTATGGATATGAGTTATTAGTCTTTTGCATTAGGTGTCTCATGAAATGATTGCAGCTGCCAAGTTTATTTTAGAAAAGAATATCTCACTAGCTACCCTTCCCTCTGGAATTAAGACAGACCCAAAACACCTAACAGAGCAAGAAGCATTTGGTAATGGTTCGGGCATCATGTGAGCTTCTTGTAATACTTTATAATGATGATACTATTTATAGCTCGGTGGTCACTACAACCAGTGGCTGTGTATTTGGATCTGCTTACAATGGAAGCAAGACTGAGTCGGCTGATAGGTGTGGTCAGAGAGTAGGGGAGGAGCTAGTGAAGGTTTTATCAGGAGAGGCTTGTGTGGACGATTATATGCAAGATCAAGTGAGGGAGGATAATAATTAATTTATTGCTGTCTTGTGTTATAGTTAATTATCTTGATGGCATTAGCTAAAGGTTGTTCAAGAATTAAGACAGGCCCTCTCACTTTGCACACAGAGACAGCAATACACATAGTGGAGACACTGACTGATGTAAGTTGTGAACTAACACTGCAGGCTTACTTCTCACTTCTCCCTACAACTCAAATCTTTCTTTCTTTTGTCTTTTCTTATTATTAGGTAAGGTTTCACGTGTTAAGAAATGATGGTAGTCCTGATACTTGTCTCATTGAATGTGATGGATTGGGTCTTGAGTCTTAAGTACTGTGAGAGGTGTACTAATATAATAATTGTGTTTTTATGTACTCTATATAATAATATTGTAATTGTGATTAATATTCTTATTTCAATAATTTCATACACTACTTTGTCCTCATGCATTTCATGTGTTGCTAGCGTATTGTGTACACTCTATGCAGACTTTGTTTCCACTACATACTCTCTTGTGTTTATGCTCACTGTATTGCTGCTACAATGCCCTTTTCTTTCCTAACAAAGCTTCTTTGTCTATATCGCTGCTACAATACGCTTTTCTTTCCTAACAAAGCTTTGTTGTCTATAGGAGCTTTTTGTTGCTAAAATTACAATTTTGCTAATCAAGAGCTTGTTTCATTTTATTGTTATCATGTTATTTTGTTGCTTTGCCATCAATTGTGTGTTATATCATTTATGAATTATTTAATGATTGGCCTACTTTGGCCTACTAAGACTTACACTCTGTTCATGGCTATTACCATGAACTAAGATAATGGTAAACATTATCTTAGACCGTTTAGTAGTGTTGATTATTACATTATAAACTTATACTTATATCTTCAATCTTACAGTACAATAGTAAATTCTAATTTTCTAACATGAAAGTTTATTTTCTTGCTTACATTAGTATTACCTACATTAGTATAATGCATACAAGAGCTGCAGCACGAGCATGTGATAAGCTCATGTATATGTTGACTGTCTTGTTATAGTGTAAGAGCATTGTTTTCATCCCATGCTTAAACATGTAGTAAGAAATGAACACATGCACTCCTCAATGCACACAATGGAGCATTGTCACCATTGTTTGAAAGGAGTTGCATGTGATAAGCTCGTGCAGAGAGTGAAGCTATGGCAAGACAAGAAGAGAAAACATTATATCTTCAATAATCATTAAAAATAATGTCTGCCTAAATGTGGCGGAGCATGAATGTCAACCATTAGCAATATATTTAGTAATGCATGATTTTAGTCAAATGTTGTCATTTTTGTGTTTAACACATATGCCAATAGCACTTTGAGTATTAGGAAATGTTGATGGTGCAGTTGGAATTTCAATAATTGTTACTTTAACTAACTAGCAAAGGTTGATTGCTCATATAGTCTGGTCACTCCCTTTGCAGGTGCCACTCTTCATTGTTTATTGTACATGTACTATCCTTCCACTTCCAATTCCTTTTCCTGTTCTATCATCCTATATAAGGCACCAATACCCTCACCAGACACCAGCAGCCTTACCTATCTGGCTATAGGTTGTAAACTCTTGTTATATATTCAAGAGTATTGGCCATTGGAAGAGCATAGCATGTTCTCTCAGGCTTACAACAATGCAAATTGCTTGCTGGGGAAGCCAGACCCTCAAACTGGGACCTTCTCGATGGTGCAAGATTTCGGCTCGCTCGAGGCAAATTCAGGATTAGGCCCTAGCTATAAATTCTCAATGGGATTCAGCACACTCGGTACACTCAATGGTGGGAACAGGACAGGGATGGGGTGTGGGTTTGGTCTCAAATGTGGCAGCTACAGTGCTAGTTCAGGCACCCTCACACTCAATGGTGGGGATTCGTACAAAGTCCTTTTTGCAGGGACAGGCAAATGGGTCCTTAGCCACAAAGCACAGGATATCACTGTCGAGTCAAATGGCATAGATGAGGCCTATATCTATCATAAGAACGGTGACGTTGAGTTTTTCAAGTCTGATTTTGACACAGGCAATACTGATATGTATCTCTCACGCTATACGAAGGCTGATGGTCGGTACCTTGAATTCTCTTATATGTATTACACTAGCTACTATCGTTTGACTGGAGTTAGGGACAGTGACAACGAGCTTGCTGCCATTACTTATGATAGTGATAACCTCACTAAAGTCACTGTGTATCCATCGTCCTCGACCGAGAAGCAGGAATATACTCTCAATTTCAATGCTGATGGTACACTGTGGGCCCTTGAGACGCCTACTGGTACTATCAATATTGAGTACAAACCAATCCAGGAGTACAAATCACATCTTTTTATGTACCCAATCTCTAAAATCACATATCCCACTGGTGCCATTGAAGAAGCAGAATATATTGATAATGGATTGGCATTGCCTCCAGACGCTCAAATTGGTTTCATGCCTGCTCTCTCGTCCCACACCAAAACCCTTGCAAGCAATCAGCCAGCTATTACAACAAGCTACACTTATGATCCTAATGATTATAACTACTGGGGCAGCCTCTCTGGTATGAGCTGGACTGACAATTATGACGGGCTCTTTAGTCTAGACTGGGCATATCGCTACACATCAACAGCCACCTGTGGATCAAAGAAGACCGTTACCACATACAACAAGTTCCATCAGACCGTCGAAACCGTTGAGACTAACGGGAATGATAATGTCACAAAGACGACCACTTATGGTTACTATTGCGACGAGAATGTTCCACTGGATGACCAGGAGACACGGTATGAGATACAAAAGTCAAAGACGATGGTCATCCAAGATGCAACTGGAGCTCAAAGGACGTTTACTCAAACAACAGATTACGATGATTATGGCAATCTTCTTTGTCAAACGGAGCCAAACGGAACCAGTACAGTCTATGAGTACTACGATGCAGGAGGGGAAGATGGCTGCCCAGCCACTCCAAAAGGATTGGTAGGTTTCAAAAAATCTGAGACCCTGAAACCCAATGATGGAACTGCAGGTAAAACAAAGACCTACAGATACAAGCTAATCCCAGCAGTTGATGGTAACACTAGCAGGTGCATTGTAACCGATACAATGAGCTGCAATGGTAACACATTTGTTGTTGCTTACTTTGATAGCAGCAACCCCAAGGCCCAATGTCAGCCAAAGAGTCAAACCATCACTATTGGTGGGAAAGCATCAACAAAGCAATTTGAGTATACGTTTGATGCAAATGGCTACACCATCAAGGAGACCATGACGGGATATGATGGCAATTCCTACAGCAATTCCTCTACCTTAGCACTATTCAGTGGTAAGACACTGCAAGAAGTAGATCGGGTGGGTCTTGTTACAAATTATACTTACGGTTCTGATGGGCGAGTATCCAAGATAGTTACCAGTGCCTCGACCGATTATGAAAGCTACACTGATTATACTTACACGCAAAAACCCAATGGAAGCATTGGGACACTGGTCACTCAAAAAACCAGCACAGGTCAAGTCACGAATATTTATTACAATGGAGATGACAAAGAGCTCAGCACTGAGAAACAAGATAGTTCTGGCAATATGAGAAAGTCGAGCGATACATCATACGATGATCAAGGGCGAGAGGTCACAGAAACCAATTACGATTACACTATCAGTGATCAAGGTATCGAGAGCACTTACACTGATAGTGTTACCAAGGTGTATGGCTATTGGGGAGAGATTGTTGAGGAACAGCACAATGGAGGAGCCACTGGGATAGATAGGTACACTTTTGATCCGGTTAACTTGCAGAGGAAGCATGAGGTTTTGACGTCTAGTAAAGGTAGTTCAGTCTCTGGGCCAGTACTAACAACCTATGATCTGTTTGGGAATGAGGTACAAATTGATGTACTCACTCTCTCTGGTGGCGTCTATTCTACAACTAAGAAGACATATGATGGCTTTGGTTTGTTATCTTCTATAACAACACCAATGTCAGCCACTGCTTCTACTAAATATGATGTCTATGAGCGTCCAATTGAAGCTACACATTTTGACGGTACAGTTATATCAATGGAATATCCTGACTTCACTATCAAGCGGCTGATGTCTTCAGTGAAGTTAGCCTCATCTGGTTATGTTTTGGGCCAGCATGAGTATGATAGTTTACTCCGTTTGACCAGTCGCACTGTTGGTGATGTTAAGACCAAGTTCAGTTATGAAGGTGCTTACTCTAAACCTTCCCAGTTGGTCAACGGGCTAGGACAAACAGTCCTCTTTGATTATATACCTGAACTGGGCCTGCAGACTGCCAAAGAAGCCACTTTTTCCAAAGAGGTAGCTATTGGAGACTTTGGCAATTCCTCAAAGGTGTCTGAAAAGACATTCACTTATGCCAAATCATCCACTCCTGAAGGTTTTCTAGGTCGTCTTGTCTCTGCCTCTTCTCCTGGTACTGGACATACTAATAAATACACCAGCCAAGGATTCGTTAAATCCTCTACTCAAACCGTTGGAAGTCTCACGAAAACCGTCACCAACTCTAAAGTTACATTCAAAGGAAAGCCCCTCAATTATTCATTTGATAATCGCTCTCTGACTGTCTCGTATGATAAATTTGGCCGTACTGTTACTGAAACAGATGGAGAATTTACAGTCGATACAGGGTATGATGGTGTCAATCGTGTAGCAAGTCTGACAGTTAAGAAAAGTGGCTCTGTAGCCAGTAAGACTGTTATGACCTATGATGATTATTCTCGTGAAGCATCACGCACTATCACATCAGGGGGTAAGACGATTGTGATAAGTCAGGAATACGACTTGGAAAGCAAAGTAACAAAGAGGAAGACTACAATTGATTCTTCTTCTACTCTCACTGAAGACTTCACGTATGATGTGAAGAAGAGGCTAAGCACATACACAGCCACCACTTCAGACAGTGCATTGCTGCCTCGTAATGAACATGACCAAGCATTCAAGTCACAGTCTTTTACTTATGATGAGCTTAATAACATCAAAACTCTTATCACAAAGTTTCCAAATGGAGATTCAGACACTGCCACTTACACGTATGATTCGTCTAAGAGATTTCAGTTGAAGCAAGTGAGTCATTCACTTATCAAAGGGAGGAATGCTTACCCAGGTAAAGTTGCCTTCACTTATGATGCTGCTGGTAATGTCCTTACAGTTGGTGACACCAGTTTCACTTATACTATTTCTGGTCGGATGCGCTCCAAAGGCAGCACCACTTATACTTACGATGCTTTTGATAGGCTCGTTCAGAGTGGTGACACTGCTCAGTTCTACTATGGCCTTAAAGTCATTCAGGAGGTCACAAGTTCTACTGTTAATGATTTCATACTTCATGGCAAAACTGTTGTTGCCCAGGTTTCAGGTGGAAAGACAAAAATATTTGGTCACAATTCCCAGTCTTCTATTGTTTCAGTGACCGAAGGCTCAACAACAGCTGCCACCACATACGGCCCATTTGGTACTGGTAATAATGGAGCACGTGTTGGTTTTAATGGAGAATTAAAAGATATTTCTGATCCAAACCTTTATCCACTGGGCAATGGGACGCGTAATTTTATGCCAGGTTTTGGCAGGTTTTCTTCCTCTGATACATTGTATATGACCACCAGTGAGATTAATCCTTATGCTTATTGTAATGCTGATCCTGTGAATGCTTCTGATCCTAGTGGCCACTCACTAGGATGGAATATATTTGGGTTGATTTCTGGTATAGTAGGGCTTATTATGGCAATTTTTACTGGTGGGTCATCTATTGTAGTAGCTATGGGAATTATTGGTGGTATTTCTGCTATTACCTCTGCTTCATTGGGTTTTGCAGCAGATGCTGAGGCTGCTAAAGGTAATGATGACTTAGCCGCTACTCTTGGTAATGTTTCGTTTGGTATCGGAATGTTGGGATTCATATTGTCCTTAGGTGCTACAGCAGGATCTGTTGGTAAAGTTGCAAAAGTACGGTCTATATTTAAATCAAGTAAATTGAAAGGTAAAAATTTTTTGAAGTTTATGGATGACAATGATGCCATCAGTTTTAAGACCAGCCACTCCATCAGGTTCCGTCCGAAGTCAGGTTCAGGTAATATCACTAACTACAGGGAGCTCAAAGTGGGTCCTGATGGTGTCTTTAGGGGCAAAAAATACCCAAGTTTCAAGACGAGAGCAGGAGGAAAGTTCAAGACAACCCAAGCCCCAATTGTTAAAGCAGATCTTTTCACATCTTCGGGTAATCTAAGATCTCTTCCAAGCCTTTTATTTAAAACGGGATCCCATTTTGACATAGTTCATTTCACTTGGCAAAATGTCCCTGGTACAGCTTACAGTTTGTACTCTTTCTTTGCTCCGAGTAGTTCTGATGAAGAGCCTACTCCAAGCAGTGATGTGTCTGTTGAAGCAGCCCTTATTTCTGCTCATGGTATTCCAACCAATTCTAAATCATTTTATGATGACAGCAGCGATGAGGAGGAGGACAAAGATTGAACTATTATAATTACTACATTAGCTAGAGTCAAATCCAAATATTTTTGTTAGATGCTTTTAGGACTTTGGATTTGTTTAGTTATAGGAGTTTCAAAGTATTTTAGGCCTTTATTTTTTGATATTATACTTTGAAATGTTTTTGGTTGATTAAAAAAACAATGAACTCTTTCATTTACTTAGTGATACTATTACATTGCAGCGAGCAGCTTTCTCTCAGTAATAATTAATTAATATGCTGAGTCTTGGTCTACAATGTGATGGTAAGGCATTTAATAGCACTCACAACTTCTGTGACATGCATTTAAAAAGCTTTTGCTATTTCTTTAAAATTTATTACAATAAAATAGCACAGTATAGAATAATTGTGTGTCTTATGTTGCATGAGATGCGTCAGTCGTCATGATAATCCGTCCTTGCTGAGCTCCTAACTTCACAATTTCATGACTAACTTGAGACAGACTAACCATATACTGTACAAGTGGCCTAAACAATGCACTGTCTTTTAGTGGCATGAACATACAGACTAGGATATTACCTTAGTTTCCCTTCTTTTAGTTTAGTGACAGCATCAGTTAAAATCCCTATTCATTGGAGATTTGAGTCAAAGGAATTAACAGTTAGTAATGGATAGAAATTGTAGACTAATAATTCATGCTTAGCTACTACTAGTCTATTATTATTATTATTATTATTATTATTATTATTATTATTATTATTATTATTATTATTAAATATTAATAAGAGAGAAAAGGGCAACAAAAAGAGAGGAAATATATAGAAAGGAGAAGAGGGAGAACCTGAGAGAAAGACAAAAAAGGAACAAAATAAACAAAATTTAGATAGACCCATCCACCTTATTATTATTATTATTATTATTATTATTATTATCATGTAAAAAGAGGAGGATACGTATGTATGTTCCTTGCTGAGAGCCAGAGAGACTCCAAACTGGCTCAAACAAAAAGTGAATACTGCATCCTTTGAGATAGAGTAGCCTTGTTTCTGGAGCATCAAGCTACAAAGAACAACCATACAATAATGATAGTACTTCAAAAATACTATATCTTGTCATGGATGAGTTATTTATTTATTCCACTTATTAAAAAACTTAGAAAAAGCACTGCCCTCTGAGCTTTCAGTGCTCTATTACGCGTACTTGTAATTCAGGGCACGATGTAATCCATTGGCCTTGAGTCGCTAGCATGTTTATTATTAGCTGCTTGGTGGGGAGGTCGTGAGTGGGAGTGGGTTTGGTCTCGTATTCGTGTCGTATAAGTGAGTGTCTCAATTGATCTTTGACTGATTGTGACATCACGTCATAATCAGCTAATGAATAGCCAGGATGAACTAGAAGAGAGAGAGAGAAAAAAGAAGAGAAAAGAATGAGTGAGTTCAAGTTCAAGAGAGAATAAAATGGAAGGAGAATGTAGAGCACACATTTATTTATGTATTAATTATTTATTGGCCTATAGGTACCTCCATTATCAATGATACAGTTGACTCCAAGACCTTTTGTTTCCTGCTTACAAATATCAAGGAGCTCCTTTACATTGACAAGATTAAGTATCTTATCTAAAATAGTTAAGTATAGCATTATAACCACTGCACTGCATGACAATGATGATATCAACTAACAGAGTGATGGATATAAAGTAGCTAGTTTCTCAGCCTCATCAGCATTCCTGACAACAGCTATGACCTATTTATCATGAAATTTAGGTAAAATATTTAAATTTTAATACTTTAATTTGTAAGATCTCACAAAGACCAATAATTGCCAAACCGTTAGACTACAATGCAATGACAGAGAAGATTATTATTATTATCGTATTAAGTATAATGGTCTTTACTTACTGAATATGCAGAGAAGAGAAGGAGTGTCGAGTTAGGCTGAAGCTTAACTTTACACTCAAGGCAAGTGTAAGCTCTCAGTGCTGGGATCAATATGGCAGCTGCATCAGTGTGAGACACGCCAAATGGTTTCTTAACTATAAAAGTAAGAAAATAGATTATAATAATATAAAGATTTATATAAAAGTACTGATACTTACTTAAACAGAATTCTGGTACAACACAATACTCGGCACAACCAGGGCACTCTGTATCAATGGGTAAAATCCCTATTCAACAGAAAAGGGCAGAATACATAATGAATAGAGCAGAGAAATATACAAGAAAAATCATTCAATACAAAATGCTTTATTAGTATTATTAAATAAAATGTATATACATACCACAGACTTGGTCAGTGATACCAATCAGCGATACTGATTCACCAACTGTTGAAATGACAATTATACTCATTAATTTCGTACAATTTATTTGTATAACCTTTCGTTACGATTCCAGATATTTCATAACCGACTGGAAATTGCTCTAAATCTCCACTCAAGTCTCTAAGTGCCTAAAAACATAATTCATAAAATCAATTTCCTAAGGCCAAACTGTTGACGGTCATACTTGTACGTCAATCCTTGAAAGAGCGCATGCTTTGATTTGAACCATGACATCAGTAGGAGCTAGCTCAGGCAATATGACCTGTAATGGGAGACAATAGTACAGGCAGTATTATAAAATATTCCCTTGAAATTTAAAGCAGTAAACACTCAGCCAAGCAGTAAACACTGATTTGTAGATTTACACTGACTAGTAACTTACATGCTCCTCTAGTCTTGGTTCTAGTCTCCTTTCTCCCTCACTGGTTGAAACATAAGTTAGATATATGCCTCTCATTTTCCTCTAGCTATACCACCTAAAATGGTTGGGCGGGGCTCAAGATGGCTGTTGGAGATAGGCGTGGCTCGAGAGTTGCTTGGGCAATACCGTATAAGACCTAATTGTTTGTGTTTGAAAATTTTTAAATCTGCATCGACACAGCTCCTCCCCACGTGCGCCATTTTTAGTACTTCCAGATAAAGGCAGATATAGTACTTTAAAACTCTTCTTAGAATGTCTGTAGTTCCTACTACATCCGAGGGAAGTGAGTGAATTTTTTGCTTCAATTTATTGACCAAAATATATTAATAATGAAGTTCATTTATTTAAAGGGGCGTGGTATTTTGATATATAATAATTTATTTTGGCGGGAAATACTGCTTAGTACCTAATAATTTGGGACGTTAGAAATTTAGAATAGGTTGTTCAAATTGTCTCACATTTACGTTGTTCAAAAATTTGAATGGTAAATTTTAAAATTTTTATTTGTGATTTAGCATTTGATGAGGTTGCAGAAGAGAGGGTCATTAACGAAGAATATAAAATATGGAAAAAGAACACTCCGTTTCTCTACGACCTTGTCATGACACACGCACTAGAGTGGCCTAGCCTTACCGTACAATGGCTACCAAGCATTCAAAAGTAAGTATAGAGAGTCTTAATATCACGGAGTGTCATTTGTGTAGACCTGAAGGTAAAGATTTCACCGTTCAGAAGCTACTGCTAGGAACACATACCAGGTATATATACATTTACATGTACAGTCTGTTTGTGATTAGACATAGGCTCAGTTTGTTGGTCTCATTACAAACTGAGAGGATTCCCTCTTAGCCATTTTTAATAAAACACCCTGTACTATAGTACAGGGACTTTGGCCTGATTTTTTAGCAACTTAAAAAATTCATAAAAAATCCAATTTTGATCGGAATTAACTTAAACTTGCTACACAACATAAGGACGTGCATATGTATTAGAAAAAATTGTAAAAATGAAGAATTCTCTCCTAGTCATTTTTGGTAAATTTGACCACACCCCTGTACTATAGTACAGGGACTTTGGCCTGATTTTTTAGCAACTTTAAAAATTCATAAAAAATCCAATTTTGATCGGAATCAACTCAAACTTGCTACACAACATAAAGACATGTATATGTATCAGAAAAAATTTTTTAAATGAAGAATTCTCTTCTAGTCATTTTTGGTAAAATTTGGTCACACCCCTGTACTATAGTACAGGGACTTTGGCCTGATTTTTGAGCAACTTTAAAAATTCATAAAAAATCCAATTTTGATTGGAATTAACTCAAACTTGCTACACAACATAAGGACATGTATATGTATCAGAAAAAATTATAAAAATGAAGAATTCTCTCCTAGTCATTTTTGATAAAATTTGGCCACACCCCTGTACTATTATAGTACAGGGACTTTGGCCTGATTTTTGAGCTACTTTAAAAATTCATAAAAAATCCAATTTTGATCGGAATCAACTCAAACTTGCTACACAACATAAGGGCATGTATATCTATCATAAAAAAATTATAAAAATGAAGAATTCTTTTCTAGCCATTTTTGGCGAAATTTGGTTGAAGTCCCTTTACTATAGTACAGGGACTTTGGCCTGATTTTTGAGTAACTTTAAAAATCCACAACAAATCCAATTTTGATCGGAATCAGCTCAAACATTTTAGATAACATACGAACGTGCATATGTATCAGAAAATATTGTTTTCTCTTGTTCCCTCTTTAGTTCCGATGAACAGAATCATGTGGTTATTGCTAATGTCAAGCTACCCAATGAAGATGCACAGGTTGATGCCAGCAGATACGACAGTGACAGAGGAGGTATGGTTTAAACTGTAGTAAGAGGGATCACTATTACAATATTTAATCCTTCAGAGTATGGCGGGTTTGGATCAGTTGCTGGTAAGATTGAGATTGAAGTCAAAATAAATCACGAAGGAGAAGTAAACAGGTGCAACTGCTGTGTCCCCTATACACTTACACAATTATTATTATTATTATTATTATTAATAGGGCTCGTTATATGCCACAAAGCCCTTTCA